CCTTTACCAGTGTTTATCTTCTAATTCGCTGTGTTTCCAGAACACATTTAGGAAAGATGTATAGTCTTACAATAAAACTGTATCTTAGCGACACCGCAACAAAGATCAATCCACCTACGTTAACTTTGAACTTCATTTGATGTGAAAATATCTTCAAAATGTCAACTTTCCATTCCCTATCAAATAACTTTAAATCAACTTTTGTCAACTAATAAGAGCCTACAGAAGTGTTTTCCTTACATCTTGGTATATTTTCCCCTCTTTTCTCATTCAACCCTCTAGGAAATCTGAGCCATTTTGGTCACCTAATCCTCCAGCGTCCTTGGTTTCACATCTCTTGCCAAGTTTCTGCTTGGCTCACTCCAAGGATCACTGCTATTGCTGCAAGGAAATTTTGCAGTGGTTTCCCAGTCTATGCACAGCATCTGACTGAAACTCAGGCTTGATGCATAATAACAAGAAATAAATGATGAAAAAGAATTAGACACTTGGTCACCATCTGTGTCAGGAACGCTCGGTTTGATTCGTCACCTTTTTACTATCCATCCCACCGCCTTTTCAGTTTTAAGGTAAAAGACACTTTTTCAATAAAAAAGCTGACTTTGCTTCAGAAAGTGTTTTCAGAAGAGTGAAAGCTGTGCTGCAACCTCAGAGATTTCCCCAGACCAGTTTTCTGTTTCATTTTTAGAAGTAAGCACCCTTTTTTCCGTTGCCACCCAACAATTTGAGTGAGTTTAAGCTTTTTGACTATGATGAGTCATGGACATGGAGGTAGGGAGCACACAGGGATCCAGTCTATCATCATCTTCCCCTCTCAATCTCCCCCACAGAGACTTTAAAGATAAAACCAGCTTCTCTGTCCTCAAAATGGACTAAAAGCAGCATAAAAAACAAATGGACAAACTTACTGTAAACTGTTCACGTACCATGACCTAAAAATGACTTATTTCTATATTGAATTAAGATGATTTAAATAAAAAGTTAGTATTGATGTTTTTTTTGGAGAATAAAATTATGTTTTATTTTAGCGTTTATCAGAACTACATGGTAGGAAATTACCCTAACGAGGATTTTTTTATTCTAACTGCATTTTCTGACTTGAAAAGTCTTAAATTTCAAATTTTTGGGTGAATCTGTTGTTAGTATGTACTATCCAAACAGACAAGTTCCTTCAAATGTGTAGGGATGCACCGATCAGGTTTTTTGCTGCCGATCACCGATACCGATATCAAAGAATGCTGATCACCGATACCGATCACGTGGATTGGCCAGAAATTTTCTACAACATTATAATGAGTGGTACAAACTACATAATCTGGGAATAAAGGAAATGTAACCTAATCTAAAATGGTCTGTATTAGGGTTGTCACGGTGTGAAAATTTAACCTCACGGTTATTGTGACCAAAATTACCAAGGTTTTCGGTATTATCGCGGTATTTTTTTTAAACGTGTTACATTTTCACACAATTAAATAAACCCTGTATGTCAGGAAATATTGTCCTCAGTTTGTGTCTAAATTTTGCCTAAAATGTGTTATTTTGTAATTATGTTGTTTATTTGTTTACATTTTCCCCTTTAGTCTTTAAAATACCAATATTTGCCCATAACTTCGTATTTTATGTCTGTTTGATGTCATCATTTAAAAATATTAGACCAGATGATACTCAGTACTCAAGTAGCCTTCTAATCAGATACTTTTTTTTTTACCCTTACTTGAGCAATCCGTATTTCAGGAAAATATTGTCCTCGGTTTGTGTCCTTCCAGTGAGCTTTGCAGATGTGGGAAAATGTCATCAGGCAGTAATCATTGTTAAATTCATAATTATTCTCGGAGAGAGACCAACTCTTATCTGCCCCTGGGAGCCCCGTAATGCATAGCGTCATTTCAACATGGGGGTGTCCGCGACACGGTTTATATGCAGGTAGCAGGCGCTGCGGCTGCTTTATATAGCCACTCGTTGCATTCTCCCTCAACCCAAATCCTCGGATCACGCATTTTAGCTAAAACGCTAACGTTAACTTGCCTTGCGTTGACTGTAGAGTTGTGGGTGATGGTCACGCAGATGTGTCATGAGATTTGAAGCGTTGCTGCCTTTCACAGACACTTTTTCTGCTCGTGCTGCAAACAGGATAGCCGCCCGTCTTCTATAAACTCCCTCGGCATTCTTCAGATATCTAAAATATGCCCGTACTTCCGACTTTGTCTTCTTTGAGGGATAATAAATGTCCTCCTGAGCGCTGCCGTCTCCTCCTTTGACCATTATTTCAGCTTTAGCTTCAAGAAAGTTTTGTTGTAAACAAAGCGCGTATGTGCCGCCGGCAACTTCTGCAGATGATACGGTGGCTGGTAAGGGTCACCGCGCCTACACCGCAGCCACGGTAAACCCACCAAGATAATATAGTTTTTTAAAAACAAGACGGTTATTATTGTCAACTTTTTTTTTTTTTTTTTTACCGGGGTTTAGCGCTACACTGGTTACCGTGACAACCCTACCTGATCGGTTTGCTTTGATCTATTTTGAAAATTCCGATCAAAACCGATAGGGGCGCTATCGGCCGATTACGATCAAATGCCGATCCATCGGTGCATCCCTACAAATGTGCACATTGTGACTCAGTAGTCAGTCAATACAGGTATTTTACTTGCTGTAAGGCTTTTGTAGCAAAGACAAGTATTAAAACACTTTAAAATGCCATGATTATTTTCAACTTAACAATTTATTTTGTCACCACTTTTATCTAGACTCTAAGATTTTATGTGTTTGTTCTTGGTCATTCTTTACAAAAGGAAATTGACTTATATATATCTAAAACATGTGTTTGCATACTTATTTGTAGGCACTTATATGTTCGGTTCATGATAGTTGGAACATATCATCTCCACCTTCTGTTCCTGAAGAGGGAAGCCATGGTATTTCATTCATGAGTACTTTAGGAGCCATAGCTTGCAAAGTTGAGATGCCAGGCTGTTGAGGTACTTTTTAAACAAAAACAAGTACAGCTAAACATTCAAACTAAAATAAAATCTGTACATGCAGCAGCAGAAAAGGAATTACAATAATCAGCAAGGGTCACAAACAAAAAAAAAAAACTTCTCCGTCACCTGGGGAGTGTTGAAATGCTCTTCCCTGCCAGGACAACAGAGGGCATTCTGGGATATCCCATTGCAGTCATGTCTCCGGTCCAGTGTGTTGTGTTTATGTATTTCAGACTTTTGAACACTGACATATTTGTCATTCATTCTCTGCCACCTCTTTATGCAGTCGCCACCTCTAAACCCACGTTTCTCCCAATTTCTGTCCACGAGTAAAACGTTTGCTGCGTTTCATTGTTTTCCGTCAGTCGCGGCTGTGAAAACATTTATATCGTCTGCCTTTTTCTGCGAGGCATTCTTCATTCTGCTCTGTGCATGCTGCTAAATATTGTGGCGCTCTTTCTATTTTATTTTGAGAGGAACGGTGGTGCTTTAGATGAATTTAAAGTAAACGGCGTCCTGACCAACGTCAGGCTTTATGGTCTCAAATTGTAAAAATTTGGACACGTCTCCCTCAATTTAGATATGAAGTTCATGATGCCTGTTCTTTCTATACTTATTCTGCACAGTTTTTTAAATTTGGCAATAGTTTTTTGGTAAGAAAGGTGGATTATTCTTTACATGCTCTGACAGTTTTGGCTTCTCACTTGATACCTTCTTTATGAGTTTACGTGGCTTACATCTGGAGTCCCCGGTGCGCGTCATGTGGGAGGGGCATGACGTTAGTTGTACCCACGCAGACACTAAATGACAGGCTTTAGTTTAATGACAAATGTTGGAGCCAGATGATTAGATAAAGGCTTTGCTGATCAACATTGCCCTGGTTATAGTTTCAGACACCATTTCACTGGCTGTTGATGCTTGTCATTCTTCAGCAGGTCGCTGTAAAATCACAAGTAGTTAGTGAACGGGTTTAGCTTTGCTGTGAGCTTTTGAGTTTTAACATGATGGATCTAACACTGCCTACATTTCCTGCCAACAATCTGTTAGTCTAAGAGCGCTTTCAGGCGGCAAGTGATTACCTCTCTGTTTGGCCCCTGGTGATCTACTGTAGGTGTTTTTGCAACGCTGGAGAGTGCAGCCAAAGTGAGCAGGTGATTGCATTACATATGGTGTTTGAACAGTAAAAGATCTGAAGCTGTACAGTTGTGATGGGTCTTGTAAATCTATTATTTTATTGTGAAGGCCTTGTCGTTTCCTTCACTGCTGCTGTTCTGTTCTGTAGCAGGAAATATTACGAGCCGTATTCATCATAGCAGCTTGTTTACTATTATCATTAGGAACCAAAAATGTAACTCGAATATTAGCATCATTTTACCCCGTGTAATGACTCACCTTTAGATTGCTCTCTGCCATGTTGTTGAACAGCCCATGAGAGTGAATTGCTCATTTTGTTGTGCTGTCTCTGTTGAAGGTACAATCATTAACCCTGACACAATGAAAGATTGTTATTCTGGTCAGGCATGATGGAAGCCAGCAGCGTATCAAACACAACTATACTCACCCTCCAAATGATCTGTGCTTTGTGTTGATGGCAGAAGTTGTGGGTCGCCTCTTGTCTCTGGATGACCTGCGTGAAAGATGACAATATCTACCTCATTGCTCATGTCTTCTGCCTCATCTACACTGCGGTGTTACTTTGGTTTCCAAGCTGAATGGCTGTCATTTTGGTTTTATCCTGGGAAAATGATGCTCGCAGTGTAGCGGAACATTACAGCTATGTCACTAACAGCCAAATGGAATATTGAAAAATGGAAACATCTGCGTTTTGGGTGTCATATTGCCTGCTTCTGGGGGTAGTATTAGAACGTGACACCAAAGAGATGGATAACCTGTCCCTGGGTGGGTTCATGATAACGGTAGGGTGAAATATCACGTCTAACTCATTTGTATTCAAAACCAGAGTTTGCTTGTGTCATAAAATCTATGTGACACTTCAGCATAAATTTGTTGTCTTTTTTGCAGACCACCGTATCTTGAAGATAATTGATGGAACCTATTTGGACTGTGGGATAAAAAAACACCCCTCGTTGGTTTCTGTGATGCATCTCCTTCCTGAGAATGCCCTTGTGACTGGAGGTGACATTATTCCCGGGCTTGTAGATTCTCCAACAGGTAAACTTTTCATCACATTGGACAACCATTAACCAATAATATGTCATTTTAGAAAACCAGAGTGTGTATATTTGAACATATAAAACTGTACAAACACAGAGTAGCTTGTGGCTTAAAAAGTCTTGAATCATAAATGTAAAGGGTTAATTTACATTTATTTAACGAACCATAAGACATAAGATTCCATAGTAAATATGAAATCAATCTTATGGATCTTTGGGTACTTTTAATCAGAAGATTGGAACTTTTTATTGCAGGGATTATGTAACACTTCGTATTAACTGAGAGACAACAGAAGAGAGAGTCACCTTTAAAACATTTAAGAAGATTTATTTCTAAACAATTTTAAACAAGACTAACTCTAAACTCTAAGTGATGAATGGATCTTGGTGTGAATGAGGCGTGAGATGGATGGTGTATGTGTGAGTGATGTAGTCATCAGAACTCTCGTATCCGGAGAAGCAAGTCTGAGTGATGAAGTGAGGTTTTGCTCTTAAGCTATGATCGGAGTTTCATAAACACATAAGACGTCATTTTGCCGCTCCACACATACCCTTCAGGATGAGACCTCCGTACAGATCCAGAATGCCAGGTCCTCGGACCCCTCTTCGGTACTGGAGCCGATGAAACAGCGTCAGCAGTACGACAGACTAGTCTTTGGATTGTCTCCAGGTAAAAAGCAACAGTTGGTTGACAGCGTCAGATGGACCCGGAGGGTCAGTGAGTTCAGCTTTTATTCTGAAAGGAACCGTTGCTTGGCTGGTAAAATGCAGTGTTGGGAACGTTACTTTAAAAAAGTAATTAGTTATAGTTACTGATTACTTTGTCAAAAAAGTAACTCAATTACTAACTGAGTTACAAGATCATAAAAGTAACTAATTACCAACAAAAGTAACTACTTAGTTACTTTTTTCATTAAAGAATGAAAGAATTACTACGATAGTGAAATATAAATGACTAATGACTGAACATAATAAAATGTATGTCCAAATGTTTTTTATAAACCTGAATAATTTAAACAAATAAGCACTTAACAGGAGGAACTACGAATAGAAACATTACACTAATCTAGACTATAAAAGGTCACTGTGTGATATTTAACAAACACCCAATCAGCTAAAATTTAAAATTGCAAATAGAAACACCTGTAAAGGTTCCCGAGCCTTTAAATGGTATCTCAGTCTAGTTAAATTACAGAAATAAATGTAATTTTGCACAGCATTCTAATTTTTCCAGCTTCACATAATTGTGTGTTTTTAGTAGCATTTCTGTTGCTGCTAATCTAGTAACGGTTAAATAAATAAATAAAATCCTTTAAAATGACACTAGAAGAGGCACAAGCCTGATGGAGGACTTACATTTACTAACGTGGGTCAGACCCAACCACAGAAGAGCTGAAGCTGGGTGGTAAACACACACAGGTAGTTCTAATAACACCTGAGATCCATGCCGTCTGAGACTGATGCATCAGTGTTACAGCGGGACTAAAGAAATGATCAGGAAAAGGTTACAGCTGGATGATCTAGGAAGGTGGAAGATCAGGACGTCTGAGCGGTGAACAGGTGAGCGGACCTTCGGGACGTCCCGCTGTCATGCTAAGGGCACGGCTGCAGACCCGCAGATTCGCTGCTGCAGCAACAAATCTGTAGGGGGTCTGCAGCCGTAGATATTCATCACGTCTTCCTCGTTCTTCACGGCCGTGATGCTCTTAAACATCTGCCTCTTTAGCTCCTGATTAGCTGATGACAGCTTCAACACACCGCGCTGCTTAACGCACGCATTTCCTTATCAGTAACAGGAACGACGTTTTGATAAAAGAAGACGTAATTAATTAGTTTGCTCGTTACTGAAAGAAATATTTTTTTTTATTAACGTGGTTATTTTAAACGGCATTATTCCCATCACTGCTCGTGTCTGCAGCATGCAGATACTGAGACGGTGAGGGTCTCCGCCCACCCGGTCAATCATCGTGTTTGTAAGTGCGTTACCGACACCTCTCTCTCCCTGGCTGCAGCTGAAGTGTGGCGGTCAGAAAGCCTGTTGCTCAACGTTCGACAAGCACATAGTAACGCACAACGTTCCGTCCCCAGTAACGGTAACGGCGTTGCAACGGTGGGAAAAGTAATTAATTAGATTATTCCGTTACCTATAAAAGAACGCCGTTAGAAACGCCGTTATACTTAAACGGCGTTACTCCCAACACTGGTAAAATGCAACAGATTTTATCCAGCTTGTCGGTTCTTTGCTTAAAAAGGAAGTCCGGGTGGCCGGTCCGATACTTCTCTTAGAATGCGGTGAACTGAACTAAGATGGCGTGTGGACTGGTTTTATTAATCTGGATGTTTTGATTTATGGACGAATCAAAATTGGCAGATTTATAAACACCACAGAGACTATGCCACGCTTCAGAAAGGAAGGTTCCGATTGGATGAGTAAAAGCAATGTGTCATGTGTTTACATTACGTGTGGTCAGGGTGTCTAGTGCAGCTAGACTAAAGTCATATTACTTATTAACACATACTAATCATAACATTGTCATTTCACAGATCGGTCAACATCTTATTATTAACACATTGATTAGCTTTATTAAAAATAGAGTTGTTTGATTTTTTAAAAGGAAAGAGTCTTTTGTCTTCATTCTTCTCGAGCTGGAAAGGAAGCAGTTTAGAAGCAAATGCATGACCTTGAGGCAGTCTCATGCAGATTAGTTCTGTGTCAGAGGCATCTGAGGAGAGAGGGTAAATAACCTTCAGTGGAATAGCCCCTTCATCACGTTACATAAACATATCTGGGCTATTTATGGATTATTTATTTACTTATCATCTAAAAAGTATAGAGTTTAAATCAGCATAGGGCTAGGCAATATAGTCTAAAATCAATATTACGATATTTTGAGGATTTCACCTCGATAACGATAAATGGACAATAACTACAGATGTGTACAGAAACAAAAGTTGTCCACTAGATGGGGCTGTCACATGTATTACGTTGAGTCACATTTTTACGTGACTCAAGGTTACAGCTTCTTAAAGGGACATGAATGTTGCCAACCTACACACATCTTTTCATTTTTTTATCATCAAATTTATTGACATGGGAAAAATTATCTCGATAAGAGTTAGAAATTACGATAACGATACATTTTTGATTAATTGCCCAGCCCTAAATCAGCATGGTACAATAGCTGGAAATGTAAACTGGTTTCTGTGATTGTAAAAACTAAATCCTAGTTTCAAGAAAACGGACCGTTCTTACCCCGGTTTCACACTGCAAGCATCAGCGGAAAGGAACAGCAGCGGAGCGGCTCACTCGCGAACTTCAAAGCGGTCCTTTTCACACCGGGAGAGTCTTGGCTGCGGCACGGCTCGCTGTACCCGCGAGATTCTAAAATCCCTCGAGACTTCTGACACCCTCCTCATCGAGAGATCACAACCCCCGCGAGGAATCACACCGTTGCACTTCTTGAAAGAAACTGGTGGTAAACAAAGCCGTTCGGTCATACGTACTGACATAAGTTATACATAACATCGCAATGTTGCATTTTATTTTGAAAGTAACCAGGGATTTTACACTGAAACTGCGTGTTTTCCTATGTGAACTGCGGTAAATTGACGTGTCCCAGAAGCCACTCGCGGAAAAAATAGAACTCGATCCTATCTTTAGCGGCGCGGCATGCCGTTTCTGGGACGCGCCTGGAAATTGCAGCGTCGCGGCTGGTTTGAAACACTCCGTAGATTATAACTGGATTCTATTTGAAGCGGTGCCGCTTCGCTGCCGTTCCATACCGCTGATGCTTGCAGAGTGAAACCAGGGTGAGGCTCCAAAAGTTTACTTTTCAGTACAAATATTATGAATTAATAGTTAATAATTAGGAATATTATCGAAATGTCATAAATTGTGCATTGTGAAAAGATTTTAGCAACAGAGATTTCAGAAGTACTGCTTGTGCTTCTACCTTTTAAAGATGATAAGAAATAAAACAATAAATTAACTTCAAATGAGCTTTCAAGCATAAATAAATGCATCTCAAATGAATTTTTACTGTTTCCATTCATCTGATTTATCTTCATTATCTTTGTGTGCTCTGTACTTGCAAAATGACATCAGTGGACATCAAAGTCATAGTGTGGCGGTTCTATGTCCTTAAACATTTTTAGGGATAAAGAACCACCGCACTATGACTTCACCACCTCTAACTATAGCTACGGTAGCCCACTCCTCCTGGGTATTTGGTCTTTGTTTAAATTTTGAAAACTATTTAACAACAATTTAAAACCAAACAGAGTTCATTTAATGTGGAATAAAGTAATATGACATAGCATAGCTTATCACATTTCTTACATCAAGTGTAATCTCACATTACATCCTTCAATAACCTTTACAACCCCAGCTGTCACAATACCTCACATGACATTCATCACTGTCATCGTCTTTTTCCCTTCTTTGGAAACTAAGTTCCACCAAAAGTTGAGATGTCGGCAGTACTTAGGAAGTAGGTTTCTAAGGGGGGGACGTAATGAAGTCTGACAGTGCAGAGCTATAATCATTGGGAGTCGGTGGGAGGTATGGTAGCAAGCTAATCCTCTTCATGTTCTGGGGCTGTGAGCAGCAGATACCTAAGCTGCCTTTTAAGACCACAGCCACCAGCTTGATACTCGCCCAGCATTCAGAGCAGCTAAACTGTGGGCCTGCGAGGAGATGCTCGATCACTGCATTACTCTTTAGGAGATTACAGTCACATCGCCTGTTTTCTCATTGTTGTGTCTGAGCAGGGTGATTGTGGACTCCAGTACCTACACACTTTTGTCAGTTTAGTTTGAGTCAATTAAAGGCAAGTATGAAAACAGCTTCTGTTTGGTTGCTTTTCTTTCTTCTAAAATCTGTTAAACTCCAGTTCTTGAGAGCTACCATGCTGCAGGTTTTAGAAACATTCTCTGCTTCATCACTGAATCAATGAGTGATTACCAGGCTTCTGTAGAACTTATAATAACACTAAATAGTTATTTAAACTTTAGGCTAGAGCTTCAGCAGTGGTCTTAGTTGTAATGTCCAGCAATGGTCAGTTTTTAAGTACAGTACGACCATTCAACATCTGGTCAAAATGGAGACACGAGACTGCACGTGTTCCCTTTAATCTGCCTGCCTTCATCCCATCAGCTGAAGCTCAGAGACTCTCTGCAGCTCTGAACACATGATAACATGTTGTCAACAATAATGCTCTCTCCTCAAGGCCCAAGCTTCCCTTATCGTCCTACAGGATAATTCATGCATCTGAATAAGGAACATTCGCAGCTCGGATTAGTTGCTAAATCAAAGAACGATTTCTTAAATTAAATATGAACATTTAAAACTTATAAGTTAAATAATCATTAAATAAACGTTTGTTTATTGCTACTTATAATAATTATAATGTAATCAAATGCTTTCATTGGTCTGTGCTCAATGGTTGTAGTTTGAAATGAATGTTAGGTTATGATTACATTGATTGATATATGTTTCAGATATGTTTATATGACAAGGTCATCACCATTTGCACTCACACGAGGACAAAGTAAAGTAAAGTTAAACGCGTGACACATAGATAGTCCTTTACCCCAGATCAGAGCATCCGATATCAAAGAAGGCGTGTTTCTGAGGTTGTCTTGTTAATATTCCTCAACTTGTCAACCTCTGGTTGGCTACACAAATCATAACATGAGAACATTAAAACCGGATCACTCTGGTGATTCATCAGTTCTTGAGAAAGCTTCAGACCGGCCATCTGAAGCAAAACCTCTCTAACCCATCAAAGCTTTTAACATGTTGTCAAAATCTTTTTGCACCTGCAAAGCTGATACAGTACAGCAAACGGTTCCTGCAGAACAAGCTGATATTTTTTCGACTCCTTAAGAGTCCCAGACACGCGGTTCCATCCATCTGTCGTGACCCGAGACATCTCTGGACTGAAGAGTCGGTGCCACGGTATTCTACAGCCCTCTGTGCCAGAGGTCATCCGACCTCTCTGACCTTCGGATCCACGAAGCGGGTCTCCGAAAACGGGTGAAGTAGACACACAGATAGCGTCTGATGCCTTTTGATAATAATCAACTTCATAGCTTAACGCAAACCAAATTCTTTTACACCCAGAACTCAGCTCTCCTAGATACGGAAGTTCTGATAACATCATGTTCACACATAGGCACCATACACTACACCTACTCCATCTAGATTCATCCACTCACAGTAAATATTAGTTAACTTGTCATGTTTTAATTGTTTGTAAAATAAATTCTTACTTTTATAACCTTGACTCTTTCCTGAATCAAAACGAAGTGTTTACAATCCCTGAATAAAACAAAGAATCCTAGAATCTTCTGATTAAACACATTAAAGACCAAGCAGGTTGATATTCTATATTTATATAAAGTATCACAGCTTATTGGTCATAAGTAGAGGTAATATATATTGAGCTCTTAAAGCACTCAATCTCTCAAACCCTACACAGTGATTGTTGAGTTAGAAACTGTTTCGTAATTGACAACACTCTGTAGCCCTCTACTGGCCAGATACTGCCCTTACCGGTTTTGTGGAGCGAGTAGGGTCTTTCTATGCCAGACCTTTAAATAAAAGTCCTTGTTGATCCAGATTGGTCAATTCTTGAATAAAATGTTACATGAGATCCCGCTTTATATTACAAGATCTCGCACAATCGGTTAATGCCTGGAACACAAGTTACCCTTAACCGTGACCAGTATCTCCAAAACCAACTGAATTAGAGCCACCATTGATTTTGTTTAGCTACAGCAGCCATTTTTAATCGGCTTAACTCCAAAAATAAAATAAGTTGCAGATTATTTTAGCTTAATTAATGTCAGATGTTTTGCTAGCAACACAGCACACATAGGTGGACACACACAAAGACAAAAGTAGAAACATTGTTGCATTCAACATGCATATTACTTATTTAACAAACTCCACAGCACACCCTTCTCCACTCGGCGAGGTTGCTAAAACTGATCGGAAACTCGTGTTAATATTGTGTCATGCACATCCCAAGGTGCTTTGCTCATTTTGTCTGTAGGTGATGCCCTATTGAGGCCTCAGCTGGTCAAGATGATGCCCTTCATCCTCAATAGGTTGACCATTTCCCTCCAACCTTCCCTGGAGAAGTTCGAGAGCCGTCTGCTGCAGCTCATCAATGCCGACTGCCATAACACGGTAAGGCTTGGCTTCACCAACACACAATCTTGATGGTTTGTGCATGTGGAACAGTCGATGTCTCAGCATAAACTTGTTCCTACGTTTCTCTTCTATCTACGTAGGACATTATGCATACATGCAGCCATGATAACAATTTATCTCCCTTGAGGTAACTATGTTTATGTTTATGTTTATGTATTTAGCAGACGCTTTTGTCCAAAGCGACTTAGAAGTGAGGTAGCTATTTACCTCACATCTCCCAAACAAAGATGGACACAACGACCTTGTCAGATTATTTTCTTCCAGTTTGATAAATTCCTTAATCCCACTCTCCCAGTTTCTTAGAGGCCTTTGTGCACACCCCTTTTATAGCTGCCATCACAATTTTGGACGTATCATCTGCAAAGTAAATAGAGCTTATCTGTTTTCTTCCCTTTTCCTTGTCTGTGGAAACCTTGATGGTTAACCTTGTTTGACAGGTGAAACTTTGGACTTGCAAAGATATGTAAAGCAGCTTCTCAGCGCCCGAGCTTAAATGCGACGTGTCCTTGTTCAGGATTAGAATCGATATGACAGAGCTGTCCGTCATTGTTACTGTCTCACGGCTCTTCACCACTCCTGAGTCGAGTCCTGAAAGTCAAAGTCAGAGCAAAAAGGAAGGGCTTAAAGTTAAAGATAATATGCTCTAGAGCAGAGGCTCCCAACCTTTTTCACCAGGATCTCCTTTCCTGTTTCCAAAACAAGCCCCCGACTCCAACTCCTACCCCCACGCACACATTCAAAATAATTAGTCGCAAACTTTACGCAGACATAAAGAGTTGGTTCGTTTGTACCAAGCTCACTGTTGATATAACTGTCTGTTTTTGTATTTTCATAAAACTGAACACTAAACACGAAAAACCTGCAAAGAATAACAATCTAATGAATAAAAGAGACAGTAGAGTAACATTCGAGGGGAATTTAAAGCACTTAAAATAAGTTCTTGCAGCCACCGAATAACTTTTTACTTTATTACTCACACATTAAACAAAGGACTTAATTTTATTATATTACATGTTCAGACTCTTAGACAAAAGTGAGAGTAGCACTTTATAAATTTAGTTATTTTTTTTAAATCTCCACAAGATTTTTATAGCTATACTATTTTAGAACGTTATTAAGAGGCATGAAAACATGTTTTAAGCTAATTTGTTTTCCAAATTTGCCATTGCAGCTTCACAAGTTTATTTAAGAAAATGCTGTTTTTTAAAAATACTTCTACCACTGCCAGTATCATTATTCAGGATGAAATTAAACTGAACTTTGTTTACATGTAGCCCCCAAAGCAATAAATCCTGGGGTATTTAAATAAAGCTAGAAACAGAACTGGACTTTACCAGTCTTTGGGTGACGCTGAAATGGAACGTTCCTTATGGGATTCAGTCCCAGATGCAGATGTTGAACTAGAACAATGCCGTTTTTGTCCGTGACTTGTCATTATTTTTTAAACTGCATATCAATTCAATTCAACCAGGCAGCCATAAACTTAAATGTTCAATTCAGTTTATTCATAAATCGCCAAATCACATTAAGAGTCGTCTCAAGGCACTTTACAAAATAAACAGTCCAACTGAACCTTCCTATCTGTGCACAGAGTTCAGTTCATTATGCTAATTAGTTCAAAGTTTCCTATGTGAGAAAACCCAGCAGATTGCATCAAGTTAATGACTAGTGTCAGTGACTTTACAGCTATCCTCATACTACGCAAGCATGAAGTGATACACACAGATGCGCGCTCGCGTACACACCCACACACACACACACAACTTATATACCAGGTAGCGTTTAAATGGCTGCATATTTTAATATATTAATAGACACATCTTAAAAAAATAAGCTTTATTGTCTTTGAGTGAATCTGTAATAAATCCAACAGCTGAACTAGTAGTAGCACTTTCTATGTTGAAGACAGTAAAAAGTTAAAATGATGACTTGTTTAATGAGAACAGGCATCAGCTAGAGATATGTACTGTTTATTCTTGTTCTTGTTACCTTTTCTTTATCCTTTACTGAACTGATCAATGGCCACTTCCCAAGTCGCTCTCACATGCTCATTAGGATCGCACAGTCCTTTCTTGGGAAGTCGGGTCTTCAGGGGCAAACAAGCCTGTTTAAATTTAGTTGTTTTTAAAAGAAGCATTAAAGAATATTTGCCTTTGCGAACTCTTTCATGCTGATTTTTTCCAGCACAGTGAATCCCAGATTTGCATGTTGGCCAAGTTGCAGCAATGAGTGCATTTTACTCACACTGGGGGACTTCCCAGTTTAGTTACTCCTCTGCCTCCTTTAGTGATAATGGTACCTGTAATAAATGTAGCATTTTTGTAGCTTTGGAGGCGAGGGTGTCGGAATTGGAGTCCCGGCTCCACGCTGTTGAAAAACCTGTAAACAGCCGTAGCTACTTAGCTAGCGCGGGGCAAACTAGCTCAGAACAACCCCGTAGCGGTCCTCCAGTAGAACCCGAGCAGCCGGGACCTCAGGCCGGCTGGGTGACGGTACCCAGGAAGCATAGAACCCAGCCCGTGGGCCACCACCAACCCGTCCACGTTTCTAATAGATTTTCCCCGCTCAGTGACGCACCCACTGACAAGCCAACTTAAAACCCCATTAATGTATATGCAAAAAATACAAAAAATAATAAGTCATGGTAAAATAGGCAGATTGCCATTAATTTTTTTGGGGCACATTCCCTCCCTTCCCAAGGAACTAGCCACTTAATGAGCCACCTTCTGGACAATGATCATTAAAAACATCAAAAGGACTGGCTCTGAGACGCTAAGGGCTTCTCCAGGTTTGTGCATGGAGCCTTAATCAGCGATATACAGCTTGGTCACTGATGCCTTTAAAGTCTACACAAACACTACTGCAGCTACTGATGCTCAAAATATACTATATCTCCTGTGTGTTCCTAGTTATAACACAAATCAACAAAACATTAAGGTGAGAAATCTGTCTTTTAAGGTTGTGACCTTGTATCTAATGATAAGCTGCTGATATTTAGGCAGTGAAGCCTATTGTTAAACCTTATGTTTGCTATCAAGTCTCTCCACTCTTACGTACTTAGATCACGACCTTCCCTCTGTGAGGTAAGTGACATGTTACCATGAATAATTTTCTCATTTTGGTATTCACAGTCCCCCCCCCCCCCCCCCCCCCCCCCCCCCCCTTTTTCATTATAACTACTGCAAAATGACGGCATTCTCACGTCTGGGTGAGGTGTTAAAACATGCAGGAGTCAGCTTGATTACAGCGTTAATTAAAGCGTGTCAGTGAGTGAGAGAGACACACAGTTAGAGAAGGAAAAAGGGTGTGTGTGTGTGTGTGTGTGTGTGTGTGTGTGTGTGTGTGTGTGATCTGTGTGTGAGACCTTTAAATGTGTGACTCCAGCTGGATTGTCATCAAGCTGTCGGTGAAGTGATGCTGACACCTCACCCATCCACTCAGTTTGAGGGGATCTGTGTGTGTGTGTGTGTGTGTGTGTGTGTGTGTGTGTGTGTGTGTGTGTGTGTGTGTGTGTGTGTGTGTGTGTGTTTGTGGGTGATACCAACATATGTGCGTAACTGGTATGAGGTAAATGTTGAGTGGTTAAAAAACAAAAGTAAAATGACGATGGAAAGGAGCAGAAGACTGTACAGTGAAGCAGGAGATGAATCCTTTCTGTCGGCGGCTGTCGCTCTGACATGGAGCCTCCACATAATCCTCCCCATAACCATTGCTATATTTAGTCCAACAAACCATTCCAGTGTGGCTTCTCTTTACGGTCCACTTATCTGTATATTATACACTTAGTACCCCAGTTAATGTGCTTGCCATGTGAAGTACTCGAGCTACTTTGAACTGCTTTTGAGAGCACTTTAATGAGCACTAGACTGATCTGAACTCTGGTCTTGAACATCTCCAAACATCCTCAAAAAAATAAAATACACACCAAAGCTATTCATCTTGAGGGTAGCTTGAAAATGTCTGCCCTCCTGCTCTAGTCCGAGTGAAACCAGAGGCTAGAACCTTAAATGACTTGTAGCACCCGCTAACCTACAGCCTCAATAAAATCTATTACTGTTGATAAAAGGGCATGGGATCTTGTCAGAACTTTTGTAACATCTTAGCTTTTGATCAAAAGACTGGAGAGAATAGAAGTGGATGAAGAGGAGGAGAGTAGCATGGGAGGACCAATGCCACGCTGCAGGCAGAACAAAATGCCTTAGGCTGATTTAATGAATGGAGAAAGACTGTGGCTACAAAGCTCCAGGAAGTTTTTACATGTACTGAAAGAACAAAACTCACTCAAAGTAGGACTGCCCTTGTGGACGCGGCATTGTAAAGAAGACAAAGGAGGCGTCTCGTGCACGGTTCTCAAAGGACACCCAGTTTGGCTACAGGCTGGTCACCACTGGAACCACTAGAGTGGCGAAGAAGGAGGTTTAATGTATTTGATCACATCAAATATTCATGAAGTTCAGGCCTTTGTAATGATTGACGACTCAATCAGGTGAAATAGACTACGAAGGATTATATCCCCTGTTAGTCAGACAAGACAGAAAATGCACTGCACACGAATGAGCAAAAATAGACAGATGAACTTTTTAACTCTATAATGGAGTAAAATGTATTGTTTGAAGTCCCTGAACCCTTTTTCACTGAGCCGGTTGTGTGTGTGGAAACTTTAGTGGGTAATGAGCTGCTTACGATTGTAGTTTATGCAGATTTTCAATCTATTAAATGAAAATGGCATTGAATGTCACAACATTTTATTTATATGAACCAGTTATAGCTATAAAAGGTAAATACAACAACATATTCTTCCTGAGACAATATTATTTAGACATTAGGCTGGTTATTGGCACCAAAACACAAACATATTAGTGGAGTGAAAATTCTGCTGGTTGTTACAGTGAAGTAAGACATTGTTGTCTTCATGCAGGAAATACCACAATAAAAGTATTAAATACGTTGTTAAATTAAATGTCTTTTCACTTACA